TGGCTCGGCTGGGCCTTGTACCTGCAGAGCCTGCAATCCTGGTGAAAAACAATACAAGAATAAATGAGATGCACACTCTCTATGTGTATTTGAAGTTGGGCAATTGAAGTTCTGTATTCATAGCGGAGCTCCCGCGCGGGCCGAAGGCCCGCGCGAGCGGAGCACCATAACTAAGGAAAAATGGTAAACCCATGGGGTTGAGTTTTGATCAACCGACACAGGAAGCCCAGTTGTCCTTCCGTACGTCCGTACGTCCGTGTACATCGCGATTCTGATTGGCTACTTTTGAGAAGGCGGGAAAAGGAAGCACGCTCGCGTCAATTTTTTGAAACAACGTTGACCACAACGACTCCATTTTTGTCCTTTGAAATACTTTACTTCTGCGCCAAATGTCGGAAAATCAACGGGTAGCTAACGGAAAGCGATCTTTATCTGAAGAAGAAAAGACAAGAAGAAGAGAAAGAGAGCGTCGAAGAAGTTTTAGTGAAGAACAACTCAGGCTTGAAAGGGAAAACGTGAGAGACGAAACAATAAGTTTATAAAGACTCAAGCAAATCGAGAAAGAAGATTATTGTGAGAGAATTTCTCTGAGGAGAACTGACTTAGACTATTCTCCGACGATACCGTGGCGTTATTAAACAAATGGCGGTATGTTAGATTATATGTGCAAGCGGTTTTTGGTGCTCAAATTCAGTAAGATATCAATTCTTCTACTTCAAGAACCTTAGGCAGTTTTAATCTGGTTTAAATTTGCTTTTGAATTTGAAAATCTTTACCTGATACACTTCAAAACTTCTCAATTAAATGAGCTTGTTGACAATGAAAATATGTGTGAATTGTGTGCACGCCGTACACGTACATTCTATCCACAATAATAATCTTCTTTGACATTAAACTACTCGGATGTTTTAATTTATAAAACTAACTTATTGCATTTTGAAAAGAGAGCCTTGATATTATTTGAATGTTCAGTTTTTTACTCTTTATTCTTCAATAAACTCTTTAATACAAACTGTCAACAAATACAGAGAGCAAAGATAAGCAAAGAATTTTAGAAGTTGAAAAATGGATAATCATTATGAACATTATGATTCCTTTGTTTACAAAACTGTCAAAATGTATTTATTATCATGTAGTTATCATTTATG